GATGTAAAATAATTGCCATCATGGCTTTGTCAAGCTTCTGCCTACCTTTGTGAAGCAGGAAAAAGACTAATACAAATTGAATCCAGTAGCAATTTCTATTGCCCACCTGGAATGGGTGACAATAGTTAAATAAACTTTTGGCTGTCAAAATGGTATCGTGCCCTATTTGTTGGTACTCGCTGATACTGATACCACCATTTTAGAGCTGGATCGGGGCCCCACCCGATACTGGTATCAGTGCAACACTAGTTAGAACCCAGGCTTTGGGCTGCCGACATCCAGAAGTTAGACTAGGGCCTCTTGTTAAGTGCCTGGAGCCAGCAAGGCCAGGAACACCCCTACGCAGCTGTCCTCCAACAGTGCCTGAGCAGCCAGGCGTTTGGGTAACTGCTCAGTGACGCACCCACTGAGAAGCCCACTCTGGTTATTGGCAGCTCCATACTTAGAAATGTAGCATTAGAGACACTAGAGACCATGATCAAATGTTTGCTGATGGCCAGAATAGTCAGAACAGTTCTATAGTCATTAGATCAATCAGTGCTATTTATCTGAGTATAGCATGTGGGGTGGTGGCCTACAGGTTAGAGCATGGAGCTTGAATTCCTGAGGTTGGGGGTTCAAAACCCACTTGTTCCCTAAGCAAAAAACCTTAAACCCCAAGTTGCTCCCTGGCCACCACTGTAGGTACCAGATCTGTGCAGGTGGACAGATCTGCTTTTGGCCCTGCCCCTTCTTATTATGGCAACTCCACTCAGACAAACTTCATTGCACCCATTTCTTAATGATCAAATCTCTTTTGAAGTCTCAACATATTATTACCTATATTTGGTATTATTTTATATTTCATTGGTGATCTAAAATAGCAGAAAGTAGAAAATAATTATTGTCAGTCTTGAAGGAAAGCATTGCACTCTAAGAGAGACTGAGTTCGGCATTTGCAAGGTGACAACACTGGGTGATGTTATTATTGTTGTTTGGGCAACCACAATGTTTAGCATCATGTGGCAAAGTTCAGCCAATCATGTAGGAGAGCATGACTGACATGCACAGGGACCGAGCAGATATGACCACCCGAGCGGATCTGGTACCTACAGCACAAATGGCCGCCCACTGCTCCCCAAGCCCAATGCTTCTGAAGCCATCAGGAGCTGCTACTAGACTGTAGAGACAGTGATATAATTAACATGACAACATTTAGTTGTCAGGTTAGACAGAAACTCCCATCATCATAAATTTGATCAAGATGAGATAAAACCTCTGTGGTTTCAGTCCAATCAGTCAGCTGCATCTTTCCTCCAAACACAGTGGGATGGCATCAGAGAGCAGAATGGAGGACTTTAAATCATCTATTTAACAGTTAGTTATTTGAGGTATTGGTGTGTTTTAAAAGAAAAGATCCCTTTAAAGCAAATATATGCTTTATATGCATATTTATATACATATGCTATATAAAACAGAATTGAAATGTTTTCTGATCAAGATAAAAGAAATCAGTTCTAAAACTAGATGAATCAAAGCTTTCTATAAGATGGCTGATTAAAGAATTGACAGATCAAATATCTGATCAAGTTAAAGCAGGATTTCTTACTGCAGCTAGTTTATCTAAATATGTGCAGATCTATCTACCAGATTAACACCTATAGAGATTGTTTCTTCTATCTTTATCTCTATTGGTCTGGCCTCTAGTCTCAATAAACACTTTAATTTTCTAAAAGACCCACCTTTATCCACAGAGACACTCACCTTAAAGCACCTGTTTCTCTCAGGTTTCTGAACCTCTTGTTGACTAGTAAGGATCTAAAAGTTTATTTATTGAGTAAAATCTGATGATTTGAATTAAACCCATTTTAACTCAAACTAGTGGAACTGGATAAGGAGGAATGACGGGTAGGCTTGTTCTGTTGTTTTACTTCATCAGGGTGGTTTATTTAGGGATGATGAATAACATCTACTAACATAGATCCCTGTTTTTTTTTTTTCTGACGTGGAACTGATACATTGCTTTTAACTCCTTTAATAAAACTGGATAAAGGATCAGAAGGTTTCTAAACCTACTGGATTTATAAACAGTGTGAATCTGGTTTTTAAAAAAATATTGTTTTTTACTGAAAATCTTTTTTTTCAAAGAGGAAGGACTTTAGTTTTTACATTGAGAAAGAAAAACTAACTTGTAAGGGTGTTTCCACCATGGTGTCTCCCTGTGGTTAATCCTGGTTATCTGAGCTGATCTAAGGAACATAAACCGGGATCAGAGCCTCAGTGGGGTAATACAACTTCCTGTTAACTTTTTACTTGAAACCCTACAGGTTGGGTTACAAGTGATACATTTATTTTCTATTACTCTTTATCTGTTTTCACTTGTTTCCGTCATAAAAAGGTGGTGTTATAAAATCTCAAGGATCCGTCTGGCATCAGTGTAGACAGGCTGCATTAACGACACACAGACCTGTGTTCCTGTTACCTTTGGATTCACTGTATGTGTGTGGAGCAGGTTTGTGAATCAGTGACATCAAACTGAGCATCTGTCACAGTTTAGATCTCAGCGCTGCTCTATGCTTATTCACTGCTCGGCTTCTACCTTTGCTTTCAGCAGAACTTTGTTTTTTTCAGTCAGCATGGGGATCATACGATTATCTGAAAGAGGGGGAGGTTCAGACAACTGTAGCTGTCAGGAGAGATTTTAATAGCATTTAATTTAAAAAGAAAAAATACATTAACAATCAACGGTTTTTGTACTTTTTATTGCTTATGGCCCTGTATCACAGAGGTATCTTTCTTTTACTTGAGCTTCTAATTTTCTACCTGAAAGTAAATTATAAAATATTCTTGCCATCTTGCAGCTGCCTTACAACCATCATCTCCCCACTCCTGTATTCAGCATTGAATCTAGTAATGACATCAATATCAAAATTGTCAAAAATTTATATTTATCGTTCTGCTGAGATATCAGATTATCTATTTCTGTAGTTACTAATCCTGCACTTTTATTACATTCCCAAAATAATGACTGTACTGATTAAAGTACAGATAAAGGAAGACCTGAAAAACATTTAAAAATATTTTTCTACAGTTATTTAATAACCATAGTATTATGGAAAAAATTATAGTGCTGATTCATATTGCATGTAGTGTGTGGTGGTTATGGGGTAGATGTATGAGGCTAATCAGAAAGTCTCATTCATAGGAGCCCATATAGGGTTATCTTGTCCTGAGCTCAGCAAGGCTGTCAGCTGGATGCTTGAAATTAATTTAGAAAGTGGATCAAAATTAAACAAAACTATTCTACATGCAGCTGAATAAAGCTTCTGGTTTATCTGGTTTAACCAACAAAGTAATTTTTGTAACACTGACTGAAGAAGGAGGTCATTCATGATTGATTGCTTCCTGATTCATACAGGTTGAAATGATTTAATGTTGAAATTTGGAAAAATCCCTGAATTTTCATTCAAAGTCAGGAAATCTAATTTTGTTCCAGTGAAGTGTCCTGTTGCAGTGAGTTAATGTTGGAATGATCTGATTTATACAAGTTCTAATGAATATTTCTTTAATATCTCTGAGGTCATCACTAATGCAACCTCATTATGAAATAATTACATGTACATTGTTCTTTTTACTCCGGGTCTGTTTAACAGACCAGGCTAAATGTCTCAACTTTTTCTCCATGTCAGCCGTATGTTTACTAACATCTAAATCGCTCTTTGCAGATTTCTAAAAACACAGGACGTTATATTTGCTAGAATTTTATTTAGTGGTTTGTATAACCATAAGGACTCCTAAGATTGTGTTATTTAATTCTATTTTCTAGTTGCTTTGTAACAATTCTAGTTGTAAAATTATATAGTTTATAACGAATCATTAATCCTCTTACTGAAGCACTGTATTCTTTTTGTTATTATTTTCATACTAAAAAAGCTGGTTTTCCTCTATTTTAAAATTCTGGTTCCTTGAGCTAAACAGTCTTTAGGCGGCACCTAGAGGCAAAGATGGTGTGGTTTGATTAATTGAATGATAAGAAACAGTGATGATATAAAATTACTGTATTATTTACCAGAAGTTAGTAAAAGAATTAAAAGCTACTGAGTCAGAAGAGTTGCCAATTCCAGGAAAGTTCGATAGATACTAGAGTAACAGGAGCGTTGGAGCCATTTAGAATGAGAATAATTTAGGTCTGGTTTATGCGGTTTGGTTTGGATGGTAGTTTCTGTTACCCAAGGCACAAGTTTCTGCACAGGATGGAAAAATATCAAAGAAATTTACACGAGCATTGATCTAATACAGAAAATGAGGGAGGAACTCAAACAGCAGCAGGAGTTGCACCATCCCGTCACACATCTAGCTACTATATTGTTTTCTAAAATCACAGAAACACCCTGTGCTTCCAGTGACTTATGGGCAGCTATCATTACGTCTGCAGCTCTGATTCAAATAGATCTCACACAAAAGGGTCAGAAACAGGTTCCAAAGCAAAAGCTGTGATTGAGACTGTATGACCTCTGTAAGAGGATGGAAAGAAATGGCAAAACAGATTCTGACATAAATGACTCAGATGCTCCTGTATCGTGCAATATCTTTAGTTATTTGAACTACCACCAAATAACACAATCCATGTATGACGAATTTAGCTACTCCTGTTCCATTCCCCTCAAGTAGCTTTGGATCTGTACTACAGTATTTACCTTGGTTAAGGATTACAGTCAACCTTAAAAAAAAGAAGAAATAGATCCTAACCCCCTAAAAAACATAAATAATTAAATGTTTATCGTCCTTCCTATACTGTTAGTTCCACATACTGAACTTTTATGCTTCGGAAAGTCCTAAACAGACTGTCTAACTGTTAGATATCATTGATGTTCTCTAATGATATTTCTGACTGTTGATTAATATTTCTAACAAATGTTTTCTTATCATTCCATAACCCAAGCTGGTTCCACCATTAGAAGACAGTGAGCTCCATGATGTCTAATCAGGGTTTCTTTCTGTTCTCTACCGTTTCCTCTCAGGTCGGACTAAGATCACTGCAGAACCTGGAGAGAACGTCACTCTGCCATGTAGAACCAAGAACAACCATCCTGTTTTAGTTGTAGAGTGGATCAGGAATGATATGGGAGAATTAAAGCATGTTGCACTGTATCGAGATGGCAGGTTTGATAAAAATGGCCAGGATCCAACTTATGAGAACCGTGTGGATCTACAGGACAGAGAGATGAAGGATGGAGACGTATCTTTGGTTCTGATGAACGTGACTACTAATCATACTGGAACTTATGAGTGTCGAGTTATTCAGAGAGGAAATAAACGAAGGAAGAGATCAAATATAAAAGGTGATCCCATCTGCATCATCAGCCTGGATGTAGCCCCTCGTCCTCCTTCAGGTGAGTCAGTTTTTCTCTGCATCAGAACCTCCAGCAGCTTCCTGGTTCTTCATGATAGATGGATGTTGGTGTTTTTCCTAAAGATGTTGATCAGACTGTAGAATCAGCTGCTCTGAGAGCAGAAGATGATGATCTTCAGACATGTTCTACCTGATGGCTCAGACTAACACCTGCTTCTGTTCTACAGGAGACAAGGGTGTTCTACAGGGTGGACTACAAGAGGATGGAGGAAATGAGGATGGAGGAAATAAGGATGGAGGAAACAGTGCTGGACTGATAGCTGGAATCATTGTTGGAGTCATTGTTGTAGTTTTGGCTTCAGTTGGTGGTTTTCTCTTTAGAAAACACAGACAATCGCCAAGGGATCCAAACCCTCCTGCTACAGAAACAGAACTTGGTCCTATAAATACTGAAAACAATTCATAAGCTGAACCATGAGCATCATTAATTTCTACCTGGATGGAACCTTTAGCACTGAAACTTTTATATGAAAATAAAAATGATAAATAATTTAAAGTTTCTTCTTTTTATTTTTAAAAAATAAAACGTACACATATTCCCTCAGATGTGAAGGCTGAATGTATAAATATGCTTCAGTTTGCTTACGTTTTGTTAATGTATTTTTTTTATTGTTTCGCCCAGTTATTTTGTCAAGCAGAAAGTAGAAAAACACCTTCACTCTCCATTGGAACTTTGTGCAGCGATGTGCACAGTAGTAATTGATATGAAACAGAAGGGAGGCGCAGAGAAATGTGTCAAACTGACTGAAATGTTCCCAACAGCAGGCTCTTCATCTGCTCCGGTGTCGGATGTAAAATATGATGGAGTTGGAGGTTGTAGTGGAGGCGACGGCGAACCGACCAGTAAACATGTCAGTGCGGCTGCTCCCCTAGTAGAACCTGCGGTTAAACCGGACAGTTTTCAGAACCCCTGTCATGATTGGTTTTATATCAAACCCACATGCAGAACACAACGGAGGCTGGGTAAAAGTTTAACAGAGTTTATTTAAGATATTGACACACAAAAACATCAACTGGATCTGGAACAGGTCCGGGTTGGGTTCACTGAAGTCTGCAGAGATGATAGTTTGATTAGCTGGGCAGACAGATGATTAATG